TTTTAAATAATTCTTATCACTGTATTGTATCATTAAGTGTAATGTCTCTGTGTATTAGTGTATAGTTTTATCCTGATGATTTCTGACACTTCATTATAATATTATGTGTATATATTTCTTACATATACTTCCCAACTATAGCGCTGTAGATATATGTAATTTTAAATAATCAAAATCGTCACATTATATGCTTCGCCCAGCTAATTCACTTTACCGAATAGTAGATGTCCCAGAATTTCGATCACTCTACTTACTGATTTTTGCTTTTAATGTTCATGCCAAGTTATGATACATATGTATTTCCTCGCTCTCTATTTGTGGAGCTTTGTTTCATAACTTTTGTATTCGTACTAAGGTGGCATTTTATACTTGTAAAGTTTATTTTCAATTTTACAGGTATGAATGTCTGTCGTGTATTGCTGCTTTGCCAACTTGTGACTGGGTCGGTGCTTTGTCCATCCCTCGAGCTTTTAGTCCCGTGCTCCTCGGCCTATTGAAAGAAAAGAAGTGATGTCTCTGACAGAAACAACTATAGCTAATTTAGGTGAATTAAACTAGCAAAATTTGCACAAGATGCCGGACCTACAGCACTGTGGCTTAATGTGCACTGGAGAGTTGTATGTGATGGCTTATAACAACGTGGCCCATGTTAAATCCATTTTTCATTGTTACAGAAAGCCAAAATATAATTTCACCGTCAACCCTCTCCGCAAATATATGATCACAGACATAAAAAAATTACAGTAAATCCGGTAGCTTGCAAGTGCTAGCGGACCGTAATCGCAGGTATTTGCAGTGTAAAATATTTGCAGTGTAAATAATTTTTGCCCCTTTAACCTACACAGGGCCCGCCAGAATTGCAACTGCTTATGGAAACGTGAGCCGTGCTTTTCCAGGTACTGAAAACTTAGTGCTCCCCGACCTGTACTATCAACAGAAGCAAATTTTATTTTAGAAACATAAGTGATAAATAGCACTACCATGTTGCAGGAACGACTTGCTGACAACTACAACTCGCACAATTTAAGCAGCAGCTCCATTTCTACATGTATAACGAGTGCGTCAAATACTAATTGCCGAAGTAACGTGCTACACCAGCAACGGTGTTACTTATAACGCGTAACCACCAACACTGCGAAACAAGGCGGGCGATTTTGCACTCATCATGATTATTACAAAGTACCAGATTTCTCACATCGTAGCTTGCCACATAATATACAGGGCGACCATCCACCGCTCAGTGGTACATGATTCTGCTAGTGCATCAGATGGAAGTCTTTCGTAGTCTTCCTCATTTTATTTCATCTCATGCAGCATTTCTTCTACAGACAAAGCGACTCTTTCCGTAAGTGATCCACGTTGCCACCCTTGGGACTCTTCAAGAGGCTGAACTGAAGCACTAAGTTTTGCGGACAAGCGTAATGCAGTGACGCTGGATCTAATTTTCTTTGTCGCTGACGCATTCAGGCATTTCAAAGTAGGCCATCGCAATCACCGATTGACGAAGTACTTGTAAAGCAGCTACCGCCTCTGAAAAAAAAAAAACAGCGCACCCGAGGAAAACACTGCGAAGTGCGCCGCTCACTACCCGCGCCGCTGCCATCAGCGCCCCTAGCGGCATCGGCGCGCCGAAGGGCCTTCTCCGGCAAGCAAAAAGCGCCGCGCTCATCACACCTCCTAATTCTAGCCACCCTACCCTATCTCCGCGAGTATCACTCCTGCTGTTCCAGAATTGTAACCTGCCACTGTTCAGTCGACCGCAAAAGTTTGCGCACCACGCGAGCGCGTGCCAAACTGCGTCTTCTACCGTCGACCGCCTGACGGTAACTGTTGACTGGTATATCAATTTCCTGCTCCTGCCGCAAGGCACCTTGTTCGTTTTCACGCAAATGCGCCCATCTGCGGTATGAGCGTTACACTTCGATGGGGGGAATCGAAGCTACCACGGCGTGCTTCGATCGGCATGTGGGCAGGTATCAGTTTGCGAGGAAGATTGGGACTGATAAACAGTTATGCTGACAAACTGCTCTCGATTCAAAAGAACGCTGCTACGGCTCTCGAAGAGCGCGCAGTGTTGGAAAGTTAAGGGTGAGAAATAATCGAGCACAGTAGGAAAATAGCCAGGTCATCGATAAATGGAGAGATGCGTCTTGGGCGCAGCGCTACTGACAATCGCCCGTGACGTAGCCGAAATGTCGCAAACAGGCCACGAGCTCGCACGTGGTTCGTAAAATTTTGTGGTTGACTGCACGTAGCATTGTTCTATTTAAACGAATCTTGCGAGTCCGCCCGAGCGTGGCGTAACGAAGCCTATGTGGCCGACGCATTATCGCTGTTTATCGGCGATCACGAGACACGCCGCGATTACGCTCCGTTGTGTGTATGGGTGCGTTGTGTGGGGCGCCTTTGCGACGTGTTTGCCGGCACCATCACAGAACAAGGGATAAGACAACCGCAGAGATAAGGGCCGCTCTTTCTCGGCGGCCCCTCGTGGATGTCATCGGTCGGCCGCTGACCGAAGTAGGAGGGGAAAGGGGGGGGGGTGATTTCTTTAGAGTTACTGTTGATTTCTCATTTCACGTCCAACTCGCCACGGTGGGCTAGTGGTTATGGTCTTCTTTCAACTGCTGACCCGCAGGTTGCGGGATCGAATCCGGCCGCCGTGGCGGGCGCATTTTCAGTGGAGGCGAAAATGCCCGAGGCCCGTGTGCATACATTCAGGTGTACGTTAAAGAATCCCAGGAGGCCGAAATTTCCGTGTAATTTCCGTGTATAGCCTTCCGCTGTAGCGTCTCTTATAATCATAAGGCGGTTCTGGGACATTGAGCCCCAACAATTAAGGAAGCATTTTACGCCAATGAGGTCAGGTCGCCGTGGTACCTTGTTTGTTTTCGGGTTTATAACAACTGCCTTGATTTTCTTCATAAACTCGCGGTATGTTGGGCTACTTCTCATATTGTAGCTACGAGCCCAAAGTAAACATGAGTGGTCTTGCGCTACACAGGATTCTGTTTTCGGGGACCGCGTGGAGGGATATGCTGGTGTGTAATACATGCATGTTTGGAATCACGTAGGTATGGGCATATTGGTGATTGTTTACAGGGGCTAGGGCTTACACAAGGCGCAGTAACAGTGACGAATACAGGCGCTAAATTCAACAGATTTGTTTAATGGCAACAAATATGGGGTTGATGAAACGTCGCGTGTATTCGCTAATTACTGCAGCATGTATGGAATAGCGAGATAATTGGGATGAGGAAGGAGCTGTCAAGAGGTTGATCCCCCAGGAAGGGGTGTCGGTTAAGCCGCACTGGTTTATAGGCAGTGGTTTCACATCACACGGCCAGCATTGAAAGGGTCTTGGTAAACAAACTGCATTCGGAGTGGCTTACGCACACCTGCTCACATCCCTTGTCATCTAAATCTGTTTGTGCATTACTTCCAAAATTATGCTACATTTGTAGAACAACAGGCAACCACAGATTAGGGCAGGTGATGTATGTGGCCTTAGGGCGCAGGACCACGCCTTCCCTCCCCGTCTGATGCTTCGGCACTGGATACAGTCAAGATAGGAAAAAAAAAACACCGTCTTTGCACTGCATTTTTGTTGGTTTAACTGAAAAAGTTTGTTTTGTAAATAGAGGCAATATCACTACCAGTATAGTCAAACAATAATGGAGAAGAAATGGTAAAGTGCCACTGTGGATTTGACGAGCACTTGTCAGTTTGCTATTTCTTTGTGTGTGTCTAATGATCACTAATATTTCTCATTCAATGAAGCTACGAAACAGTGACTAATGCCAAATGGTTTGTGTTCTGTAAGTCTCGCACATTCTTCACAACCTGTAGTTCTCTCTCTCTTTCTTCGCTTTGTGTAAAAAGGCAAGTACATAGTTTCATTATTTCTGTGTAAGCTTCTGTTTAGAGGTACTACTTGCATTTTTATCTGCAATGATCCCAGTAGTGAAGATACACACTCTCACCTACTGACCAGTAATCTTCTGCCTATCTTTGGTGAACTTGAGGGGGAAGGGGAGCACTAACTGTGCCCCTCCCACATATTACTGGAATGTTGCCAGTATACAAGCCCAAGGAATAAAACAATGTCTTCAATTAGCATGTAGGCAAAGTATTCCTTAGTACAGACAAGTAAGACTGGAGCCCGGAAGAACTTCTTGTTTCAGAACTCTTATTCAACACGAGGTCTACTTTAATCTATTTCAAAGCAAGTAATATGTTGAACGTCAGTGCAACCAATCCACAGAGCAGCATCTCAAGAGGGGCTGCTGCTGTGGCACTTTCATTTAGAAAGGCCCATATCCTCACAGACTACTGGATCAAGGGACCATGTAGACAGACTTGAACTACTAAGGTTGCTTTTTCATCATTTATACCATAATACATCTCACTATATCTAGGATAACTGCAAATTGGACATGTTGGTGAAGGTTTACTGTATCTAGCATGCTTTTATTCTCCGTGTATGACACGCACACATATGCATGCATGAACCTGCTCACACACACATAGAGAGAAAGTAAAAGCTCGCTGATTAGAATTCAAGGGGGACGGATAAGGCTGAATGAACTGAGCGAATGAACTACTGCAATGTATCAAGCAAACGAAAAATTAATATTATATCAATGCATATTTATCTTCTTGATGAATATATAAATTCCAGCAATTGCTTTGCTAAATCAGCTGTGGAATTCATAGCTTCTCATGACATTTATGTATAGTGTGAAGTTCGTGTACTCTTACAAAGAGCTAAAGCATCAGGGCATCTATGAAAACTTATTTCTTTGTTGGTTCTTTGTATCCAAAAAAACATTATTGCTTTTAGAAGGTTGCCTGCAAGCAAACCTAATGTCTTTAGCGAGTCTATAATTGTGAATTTTTATGCATTTTTCTTGGTAAAACTTATTGCTGCAATTCAGTCGCCAGCATGTGCAAGTGTAGTGTATACACAGCAAACGTCACTTGAGGATGTTTCTGTGCAGGAATTGGAAGACTCTCTTCTCAATCCCAAGAGCCTGGTTGTTCCTGATATCTGCGCTCGGCTGCTCAGGTTCATCACCCGGCAGTCCTCCATTTTGTGAGTTAAGCCCCGGAATTCGCGGTCTTTGTTCCTGCACTATGGAGTAGGCTCCTCTCCTTAATTTACTCATTTCACGGATCTTCTAGCATGTGCACCATTATGGCAGTTTTAGTTTATAATGCCTGTTTTACCAATTTGTCTGAGCTGCAGTGTACATATTACCCGTAGCGCTAGCATAGTGTCTATGATGCTGCACTGCCGAGCTCTAAAGGTCATGGATGTAATCTCAGTCATATGTTTGCATTTTTGTAGGGGTGTAAATAAAAAATGTTCTCAAGTTTATGTTCAAGAATCACCAACCAGTGAACCAAACTTTATGTGAAGTCTCACATTGTGGCAAGAAGAATGAATACCATTGCATCTTTGATAAATTAAACCCCAGAATTTCATTTAAAATTTGTGTATTGTATTATCTTTAGACTAATTCACTGTCAACTTGGCAGTTTTGTTCTGAAGCAACCACAGGAGCAGGCATTTTAGCTGCTGTATTTAAAAAAGAAAATAATTTATTCATTTTTGTTCCTTCACCCTTTTTTGGTTACGAGGCTATTATATTAGCTAATAAACTTAAGGTACATTATTATCATCATTAGAAAATAGGGTTATGTACTTATTTTGCATGAAATCTCATCATGGCAACTTATGTGGTAAATGCAGTACCTTATATTGAAACATAAAAAGGTGGGCATGTTTTTATTAAAACGTAAAAGGTGCTCCGCTTTCACCAAAGCTTTGCTTTAGAACAACTTTGCGGCTTGCCTAGGAGGCACAGCTGTGAGTTGCTAGCATATACATGAATTACTATTAGATTCACGCAGGGCAACATTGATATAACCTATCCTAGTAACTATATATATATATATGCACACACATGTGTAATATTTTTTCAGCACTCATATAATGTGTCACATGTGGCCTGACATCGCATTGACCATTTAATTCTACTTATAATATCATTGTTTTATTATTATTTTGTTGTTAAAGATTATGTTTTGCTTTTTATTCTTGGATTCAGCATGTTTTGTCTGCTTTGTGTTAAATGAATTGACGATAGTTCAGCAGCCAAGCATGAAGGTTTGTGTATGGCCCTTGCTTTTTCAGCATACTAATTGGTGGTGGTTCGCTTTGCTACATGTTACTATCGTTCTCCTGCTACAATAAAACTGTGATTGTATAATACCTACCTATTGGAGCTATGACAGCATAGCTGTATTGACCAACAATAGTCATACAAACTTTTTATTCTGTTTAATTTCATATAAAGTGTAATATGTAAAATACATATAGCCTTGTCTTGAAGTGGTTGTGTTAAGTGGTTGGGCTTGTTTATATTATGTACAATATACTAAGGCTTAGAGCTTGAATCAGGGTCAACATTCAGAATTGGACACTGGCTATACACAGGATCAGCTTTCTGTGGCTTTGCAACTTAATTTAAGCTGCTCAGTCAAAGTGTACATGTCGTAGCGCCTTTTGGCGTGGCTCAAGTTTATATTGGCACCTTGACAGAAATGCAAGAACATGCACAAATATTCACACATATTGCCATAATATTGTCGCAAGCTCTTCAGAATCACTGTTTAGGGCATATTGCAGCTATGACATGCAATGGCTAGTCATCAGAAAATCAGCAACATGCACATTTTCAGGATGTTCTGAAAGTTTTTAGCAAAGGGCACAGGAGTGGGAAGTGTGATGGGTTTACAGATATCGGGCACTTTATACAAGTATGGTGTATTGGTAAAAGCCCAGCACTTACACCCCCAGAACTGAAAGTGATGTCGAGCTATCCAGACACCTTCTGTAAATGTACAGACGGGTTAAGTGTTAAAGAGAACACTTGCACGGAGGGGATGTCCGAGTTTTGCTTTATTGCGATGACACAGTTGCTTGCATTTCTATCAGACTACTGGTGCTTGGAAGTTCTGACTTCTTTTGACAGACTAGTGTAATGTACAACCAATACATTAACATCCACTCACAATTAAGCAGCCAGCATACAAAAGGCACCCATTCAAGTGTTCCCTTTAACAGTGGATGGAAGGTACTGTTCACACGCGTAGGTTCAACCCCTTAGCATTCAGGGCATAGCCACACAATGTTTCCTTAATATCATAAAAATGCCGCTGTGCTAAAGAAACGTCTGTGCTTGTTTTCTTTAAATATTTATTTTGTTGCACCATCCAATTTTGCTCTGCCACCCACTCATTTTTCCCTCTAGTTGTCATCCTTATATTCTAATTTCTCCCTAACTTCCAGGTGTGATCCCTAGTGGTCTTCCCCCTTTCCCCACTAGTTCTCCCTGCTGCCTGCTTGTTCTCTACAACATGGCTTGCTCACTAACGCCCAGGTGCACGGGTTGACGACCGAGTGAACAGAAGCATTCGCACTTCAAAGCAAGAAGTACTTACCCACTTTCTTGGCACCATTTTGTATAAACTGGAAAAAAAAAAAAAGCTTTAATGCAGTGAAACACTGAACTAAACCACATTAACTAAAAAAAATTACATACCGTATAGACACATGTAAGGGAAGCACTTTTTTTCTTGACTTTCATATGTGCAGCTCTTGCATGAGACCAGGTTGCTTGGCCAAATTTTTTCGATTGCGAGCTTGCCACGCTGCCAATTAATTCATGTGTGCCTTAGTATCAGCAACACGTTATCATCATCACGTTACTGCCGCTGTTTCCTGCGCTCAGTTAGCTAATGCATTCGTGATTATGTTATATTGGTGCAATTCACTGAAATTAGGGACTCCTGCCATATTAACACTCACGAAAATGAATTTAGGTGTGGCAGTACGAATATGCCATTAAGATTTTTTTCGTAGATATCCATTGGCTCTAATTATTCGATTTTCCAGATGTTGGGCTGCCATGTTGGTGCTGTGGCCCCTGCACTGGTGTTGACCTTACATGAGTCTGTACGGCATTCGGGATTATCTTGTGTGTTACGTAAATCCTTAGCAAAATATGTGTTTAATACTGTTGTGGATTTGAGTCTAAGCAGACATTAATAACTGCTATACCATAGAATCTTTTGAAGTCAAGCCACATTACTACGGGCACAGAGATATCAATGGCTCCTAATGTTTCTTTCCATACTTATAAAAATTATTTCTGATGTCACATTGTGCTGACTTGTAACAATTTTTAAATACGGCACCACATATTTGGCTTTACTGTTTAGTGGTGATAAAGCTCACTATGGATGCGAAAATCAATACTGGTGGCTCTGGTACAACTGCAAAAAGGATGTTTACATAGGTGATTGTATGTATCATAGACACAAGCCATCAGAAGCTTCTATAGGAAAGGACTCTGCATTTTTATGATTGTGACGTGTTCTACACCATAGGTGCATAGTTGGCACAGAGCTTAGTGAGCAAGAAAAATGTTGCTTTGTTTTGTCAATTATGCATTTGATTGCGTTTCTTCATGCTCTATATAATGATAGACTGTCGGGCAAGCTAGTAAGTTGGGATGAAAGAATCGCGAAAAAAAAAAAAAAAAACGTTGGACAAGGCGAAAAAAATGTCAGCCTTCATTAATTTTGCCTTTCAACTGCCGTGAGTGTAAGCGTACTCCTCTCCTGTCTGATGACAAAGTGCTCACATGACACAGGGACCATACAGCACAGGAGCTCGTTCAAGCTTTCTTAATTTTAAAAGCTGGTGATAACTGTGCGTCTAAGCTGTCGCTTGCATTAAAGCGTTTAATGAGGCAGAGATAAGGTGCCTGTATGCACACATCTGAGTTTTTTAGATTTGTTCACGATGAACATGTTCGTCTTTTCTTATTAAAGGTCAGTTGTTGGAAGGCACTTGTTCTGTAGCTTTCTTAGTCTCGTCACATATTTTTTTTTTCACATTATTCTTTTTACCCACAAGCAGCAGGAATGTTTGCTGACAGTCACTTGTAATGCCAGCATGTATTACCAAAGGCAAGTTACATTAAGGCCTAAAGAGCCGTGCGGAAATAAGAAACAGTAGTGGCAAGCCTTGCTCGTTTTCACACCTCTTGTGAGCAAGGAAGGATCAGATAAAAAAAAAAGCTGCCTGTTTGTGGGAGAGGGCCTCGACGCGACACTTGTGACAGCCACCTGCCTCGGCAGCAGCAGCAGCACACATCGTGTAAGGGGCATTCTGCGATTGAGACCCCACTGCAGCTGTTTTGCCTAACACGGCTGAATGCCTTTGCCATTTATGCATTCATAGAGGGGCTCCACGTTCCTTTTCTGGCCCGTTTTTACGCATGGTTAACCGCAGTTGTTAGGAGGGGCAGAACGCATGTGCCAGTCGCGCATGCTGCTGTTTCACGCTGCAAAAATATAAAGGGGGAAAAATGTGATATGACTGCTGCTCAGGAAGCTTAAAACCTTTCTCGTGTTTGTTTTAGAAATACTGTCTCAAAGAAACACCCTTTAAACTATCATCCTTGCAGGTCTTTGTAAATGCCTGCTAGAATTTAATATTCTAGATTTCAGTGCCTTGTCTTATCTTTAAATGTTGATGCAGCAAAAAACATGGTAAGGCAAAGCATAGATAATGGGACTGTAGACTATGTGTATGTTAGCAGCTGCAGTTATAATGTTTTTTTTTTCAGTTAGTTACATTTCTGGGGCCTTTTTATAGTTTTTTAGTTCTAACAGGTTTCAAAATGGGGTAAGGAGATAAAAAGGTGTTCTTTTATTTGTAATAAAAGGGGGTTATCACAAGTTTGAGGTGGCCAGGTTGCTTAGACTTTTATCGTAATGCACATTGGTCTAAGTGTATATAATAGTATGCATACTAGTGCAGTTGTGTAGAATGTAAAGAATGGTTCTGTGAGTATTTTTACCACATTTTGGGGCTTTCAAGGCAGGATACTGGACATATTTACGGCACAAGGGACTATATATATCTTTTTCTGCTGGTCGTGGCATAGTTGCTATTTCACCAACTAATACACACAAAAGTAAGACAGACATGATGGTATCTCCCTTACTTTATCTTAA